TTGATGAATAGAAAGTTTAAAGAGCAGCATTTATTTAAAATAGATTTTTTTTAAATTGCATTTATTGTGTTTTTGCTGAATAAAAGTATTAATTTCTTTAAAAAAAAACGTACAGACCCCAAAGATTGTTTAATATTATATTATATTATATTATTTTTTAATATATTTTTATATTTATTATATTATATTATATTAATTATTTTTTATTTAGCTATATGTCTGTGTACTCTGACATTGTTGCATCCATGCCTTAACATTTCAGAAGGCATCATAACATAACTTTTGGCTTGGCAGCATGCCTATGATGCCTTAAAATGCTGTGTATGCAGGCAGAATACTAGGTAGGGAAACAGTGCTAATGTTAGCTATTTAGGCTTTGGAATCCACAGAATGATCCTCAAACAGTCATCAATACACCAGCAGAGCAGATGGAGATTAGGAGGCTTTGCTCAACAGCTGTAGTGAGGCTCAAAATGGCAGGAGGTTAATTTGCATATGTATGAGCAATGCACCACTATTGTAGTAAATGATGGACATGTATTGTAAATCAATCATCCACAGTATCACCTTTCATATTTAACTCTCTTTTGATGTGCTTGAATGAATGTTATAGACTCACTAAAGAATGAGCCTTTGCCATGCTGTTTAAACCGGCAGTTCTCTTCTCTTTTGCAGTGGTCAGTGTGCATTACGTGCTATTGAGTTATGCAGACACACAGCTGTGGGGGTTGAGGCTCATTTAAAGCTGCCCACATCTGATTGAGTCTTGCTCTTACAGTCTCTCTAGGGAAGTGCTGGCAGGATATGAGCTCTGATGGTAATGCAAGTGGACTGTCCCACCCCCTCTGCTCTTCTCTGCAGTCAATGCTGATGAGACCCTGGAGATGTAGACAGAAGAACACAGATACAGCCACTGATGCAGTGATCCACAGCACTGGAGATAAACAGCATGCTTGTGAAACTGGTTTGTCTTACTGTAAAGTGCAAACCGTATAACAATGAAAACACGGATTCTAGGAGCACAAGTATAGCTCAAATATATTAGACTTTTTAAAAGTATAAGTCAAGTATACGTAAATGTCATTTTAAGTATATTTCTGAGAAGTACATAAAGCCCATTTCTGAGAAGTACTTAAAAAGTAGACTAAAAGTATACTTTCCTATTTTAAGTTTAAAAGAAGTATACTAATAGCACACTTGAATAAACTTCTTTTTCGCAAGGGTTCTGAAGGCCTTGGGCTTTGTTGAGGGATCCTTATTGGTTTTAGGGGGAGGGTTTTGCAGCTTCTCAATCAATAGCAAGACATTATCATGGATCAAAGGTCATTGGTGTGTCATGAGCCGTTCCCTAATCTAAGGAAGGAAGTCATTTGTGATAGGCTTCCAGCGCAACATCTGCAGTACGCAGAATATGGTGGTTATTTGTTTTATATATTTATAGCAAGAATCATTGCCAGCTTTTGTTGGTCCTCCAGCTATACCAGCATAAATCAAATTGACCATTTAATGCAAATACTTGATTTAAACCTAGGTTAAACCTGTAAAAAATATAATAGATATGTGCTGCTTTTTCATTTAGATTCTAATAATGTCTTGTGTTGAATGAATAGCTGTAGAACTTGAATGGAAGGCATTTAAAAGCATTTGTTGGAAATGCCATAGTCAGCTATGAAGTACTAAGCAAGACCTCGCCCAGGTTTACCTTACAAAGAACTGTGGCTCCCTCTAGTGTTATAAAAATGTTACTGTGACATGCATTGGCAGATTATGAAACAGCAAAACATGTTTTATGGAAAACACCCAAGAAGTTCCTCTCTATGCTGAATGTCATGTGCTTTGAGTGGACAGCAATCAAACAATCAGTTTCATTATGTTACATTCGTTTGTGAGAATCCAAGGCAGGTTTTTGTTTTTAAATAGCAGATTGATAATTCAGTGTGCTTTACAAAAATCAAAAATTTGAATAATTTTAAATAGTTGTGCCATGCTATTTAAAAAGATTATGTAGTACACCTGTTAATTATCTTGCATTAAGGTCAATAACATTTGTGATATTTTTAAAACTAACACAGCCCTACAAATCTAATACATTGTGTAGGTCCCACTTGTGCTGCCAAAACAGCTCTGATGCATCGAGGCATGGACTCCACAAGACCTCTGAAGGTGTCCTGTGGTCTCTGAGACCAAGACATTAGCAGCAGATATTTTAAAGTCCTGCAAATTGTGAGGTGAGGGCTCCATGCATCAGATTTGTTGGTCCAGCACATCCCATTGATGCTCAATCAGATTGAGATCTGGGGAATTTGGAGAAGTTGTTTTCCTAGCACAGAGATGAATGCTATTAATGGCCAAATAAATAACATAATTAAATATAATACTCATGTCTGCTTTTGTTGCCAAATCCATTACTAAGGATAATCTTACAATTATATTGGCTTTTCAATGGATCAGCAGGCTTGAGGACTGAAATCTGCTCTCAGCAGCTGTTGTGGTGATTAGAGCTTATGAATATGACAAGCCTGTTGAAATAAATTAGACAAGTATGTTGATCTCATGTACATGTGTGCTATAGAAATAGCACTATCAGTCAGATTCACTGTAGAAATCAGTGGATGCTGTGTACTCTCATTTTTACTTAAAGCTCACCTGATAATGTTAACAAGGGAAAATGCAGGATTACATGAACGTGTTCATAAAAATGCTATTAAGGAGAGATTTCACTTTGTGGGAAAAGATAATACTAACTAAATCTGCTGCAATGTTGCTTTTAGAGCAGTTGTTAAGATACTCAGTTACCACGTGATGAGGGTTTAATCTCAACGTACTGGTATAACTAGTCTTCATTTTAATGATAATGCAGAGTAATTTAATGATAATTCAGAACATACAAAAACAACACAAGGAAGATGCCCAAATCATCCATACAGACAGCAGGGCATGATATTAACTTAAAGGGACAGTTCACCTTCAGTTGCTGGTCCCCATTGACTTCCATAGTATGGGGGGAAAAAAACACTATGCAAGTCAATGGGGACCAGCAACTGAAGGTGAACTGTCCCTTTAAGAGCCAGTTTGGCTTCCAGAAATGATGTTAGTGATGCTGACAAACGTCTTTAGTGTGTCAGCCTTCACTTTAACCTATGTAATAAACTCTATCCAACAGCAGAGAACAGGTATGACCTAAAAAACCCGAACATCAGGTGTGCATGATATTCTTTGCATTGCCTTGCTGAGCGCTTGAATGTGTCTGCAGTGTCAGTATCAGGGCAGCAGGTGGCAGCAGAGAGCTGCTTCTGAACGTGTCCGTCCACCCTTCACTCTTTATCTACGGGTACAATCAACTTTGTCCTCAGACATTCTGTCAACATCAGTGGTGGGGAAGTTACTTTTAAAAGTAATGCATTACAATATTGCGTTACTCCCTTAAAAAGGTAACTGATTTTGTTACTTTTGCTTGTTTGTTTTTAATATAAAAAAGTTCTATTTTGGCAAACGTAAAAGTCTCAGGCTGATGGAAATGTAAATTCACGTCTGTACAGTAGAGGGCGCAGCTCAAACACGCCTTTCAGCTGTGCGGCCATTCTGGATTGCATGATGAATAGGACGCAGGAGAAGAGAGTTCAACGCTCTTACTTCAGCAATGAAACGCAAATGTGATGTTTAACTAAGTCATTTTTGCTTATTCGTATGGTTGAATGGGTTCATTGAAGGTCAGCAGCAAGACATTGGTCAATAAAACGGAGGTAAATACATAAAGGATATTTGTGAGAGCTGCTAGTCAATAAATGGGAAAACAAAGTAGCGTGCGTTACTTATTTGAAAAAGTAATTTAAATAAAAAAGGAATGCGTTACTTTATTCGTTACTTGAAAAAAGTAATAATGTAACTCACGTTAATTGTAATGCGTTACCCCCAACACTGTTCAACGATTATTTCACTAATGCTTGCTGAAGTCGCGAGAAAAAAAAAATATAGCCTATATATAAAAAATGCTTCTGTTTTTCTGATTGCACATTCCTGCTGAAATTCCTTTGGTTCAAACATGGAAATGTGCAGACAAGGTTCAAAATTATTAGTGGGTGAATTGAGAAAAATGACTGGTTGTAAACATTTCTTGAGGTCTGGAGGTGTTGTTGGCTTTCAGCAAGTGTTCATTTTGGACCCTATTGGAGATCAGAAAGGTACCATTCAAAAGTTTGAGGTCAGTATATGTTTTTTTTATTATTATTATTATTTACGTTTTTTGAAAGAAGTCTCTTTTGTTCACCAAGACCGCATTTATTGAATCAAAAATACAGTAAAAACAGTAATACTCTGAAATATTATTACAATTTAAAATAACTGTTTTCTATTTGAAAATATTTGAAAATATAATTTATTCCAGTGATGTAAACCTGAATTTTCAGCATCATTATTCCAGTCTTTAGTGTCACACGATCCTTCAGAAATCATTCTAATATGCTGATTTGCTTATCTTTGTCACTCTTGATCAATTTATTGCATCCTTGTTGAATAAAAACATTAATTTCTTTAAAAAAAAAAAAAAATTGTGAAAAATGTTAAATCTTACTGACCCCCCAAACCTTATTGTTGCTAAAAGTACATTAATAGATAGCAAGCAATCATTTGAAGATTATTTCTAACCCAGACACATGAGGTAATGTCAAACATCTTCGGTTGAAACTGATGTTGATTTATATTTCATTTTACGTTTATATTCCCCTCAAAGGGAAATTGCTATTTTATTGTGTTTAGTATTGAGCACATTGTCTTAAAGTCTTTACAAAATGCTAACACAAAACACACATACAGATACCACGTTAATTAAATATATACATTCTCTTTTTGCTACCTTACCATATTTACAAGTCACCCCGATGAGCATCCATTCAGTGTTGTTGGCTTTTTCAAGTCCATTACGTACGAAAATATATAAAAATAAAGCTGCCTCTTCTTATTATTAACAGGAAAACAGTCCAATGAGTTTGCGTGGCATGGTGTTAGGAAGCAGAGTGGGGTTTTCTGTTGCGTTTAGCCCGTCGTGTCGGTGGAAAGCTGATGAACTCAAAGTGTTTGGGTTGGTCTGAGTTTGGGAAGGGGAGCGGTCCTTTGTAGAGGCGCTTGATGAAGTGAACTTCCCGCTGGTTCTCCCTGGTTTTGGAAGCCTTGATGGGCCGACCCTTTCTGCTGAAGGCCACGTACCAGCCCTCATATTTAGCGTTCTGGAAAGCAGTGTAGTTGTTCTCCAGGACGATCTCTGAGAAGATGCAGTCCCTTCCTCTGCCATTAGGCTGTGATAAAGAGAGAAGAAGCCTCATGTTATTTCCCTGATCTTTAAAATCAAAACAGGTGAATAACTGTATAATTAAGGACTTAGAAACTTACTAAATAACTCTTTATTAATGATCAATTACTTTAATAATACATTTAAATTACATGATATAATTTGGTAATTATAGTAAATATAAACAACAATTTTTCCCCACACTAAAAATTGTTGTCGGCTGAATCAATGTGTTGCATTCTGACTTTATTTTACTGAACAATGAATTTTCATATAAAGGATATATAATTGTGTATATTTTTATTTGATGATATATCATTTCTAATTTTCTTATTTCTTTTTATGTGTGATTGATGTATTCAATTTTAAAATATCAATTAAGTTCAGTAACAAAGTAAGGGACAGGGTATCTTTTATGTTTTACTAATCTTACAAAAGTCATTCATTATTACATTACTCCACATACATGTTATTAACAAACAAAACATTAATTAGTGTAATTAATGTAACTAGTTGAACTTAAGAGTGCTATTCCCACTCACTTAAGTAGGACATAAACACATCTTCATATGTAATTTTATAATTCTATTGTCTATGAAATATAGTTAAACTGTACTGCTGAATGAACTGACAAACATTTATGATCATCTAAAATATACTTTCATGTCATGTGTTTAAATATATTTGAAATACTTGTACACACTTGTAATGGTGAAGTTGCAATGTAGTCCTTTTAAAATATATGTACTGATGTAATATCACATAACTCACTCCAGTTAAAATTATAATCAAGTACTTTACATGGGCTTTAGTATGTTAGTCAACACATAAAAATAAGTGTACTAATTTAAAGCAAGAAAAATGAAATCTTATATTGATATTAATACAAAGTGCACTTAAGTGTGTTAAGAAACAGCCATGAAAGTGAACTCTCTTTAAGTACACTTAAGTGGCCTTTTATGTAATTAATATTATTATAATTTTTTTTTAAGTATTGTTTTTTTAATATACTTTAAAGATTAGAAGTACACTAAGTGCACATTCAATACAACTAAGCACACTTCTTTTTCACAAGGGTTGGACTTCATACTGACACCTATCAGTATAGCTGTATAAAGTTTTTGTTCATAAACTGCAAGTCGCCGCTGGTCATGTGATCTCAACATGGCAGCCACCAGACTTTGTTTTAGTAGTTTAGTCATTCTAAATTGCCAAAAGTAATTCAAAGTGCTTTTAAATGGCTTGGATCTTATGCAAGCAGTGCTTTGAATCACTCATTATTTATTCTTCGCCGCTGCCTGTGCCCTCATCTCTCAACACGGGTCACTTCATGCTCTCACTGTCTCCATCTAATTGTCCCAGCGCTTTGTCTCATGGCAAGTCCATAGCGCTGAAGACATTTTTTCCACTTCCGTGAAGGAAGAAGTGGCTTAACATCTGACTAAACACAGAGTGGAGTGGGTGTGAAAGCTGTTTCCTCCACAGGCCTGGCCATCGAGTCTCAGTGATCTTCACTTCTCCTGATGCCATTCAAACCATCTAGATGCTGATCTGTCCTGCTATAATACCTCAACCATCACAACGTTTGCACAGCCAGTGAGTTTTGTATTCAAAAGAGCAGCTTTGGCATTTCGATAACTCCTTTTGTTTCGGCATAAGGGCGGTAGATGATATAATTTTTTATTTTTAAGGAAGTTAAAAATGTTAACCTTTTAGACCAGGTATACAATCTTTTAGATGCCACAGACCTCCAAATATGATCATCCTCATGTAAGGCTTCCCCAAATATGTATTTTCATACATAAAAACCCAATAAACTGGTCTGCTATATATACTATAACAATTTTAAATTTAATTTGAAAAGTATATTGTTTCTATTAAGTTTTTTGTACTCACTAAAGTACTATACTGTTATATGCAATTTTTATTATTTATTTTAAGCTGATTTTTATATTCGTATTCATTAATTTATATATAAATATGTCTAATTTTTACTGTTTACTTATTTATTTTAATCTATTTATTTCAACTGAAATTTTAGTGTGTGTGTGTGTGTGCCATATATTTATGTATTATTTGATTAATTATTTAATCTAATTTTGTATTATTTGCTATTTATTTATTTATATCTGTTTTTATTTATTTGCTTATCTTAATCTTATTATTATTATTACAAATTTTTTATTTTTTTTTTAAATGTAAAAGTTTTTCTCTAAACTTTTCTATGGCCCCCTAGCACATTGCGGCCCCTGGGGGTCTCCGGACCCCAATTTGAGAACCCTTGTTTTAGACAACACTTTTACCATACAACATAATTATCAAACTTCTTTTATGATGTGTAAAATCCATTTGGCTCAAAAATCTGATACACTTTCCCCAGCAAAAAATAAAATACGTCTTCCTCAGAAATCTCCAAGTAAGATGATGGTACATACCTTGCCCACTAGTTTCCCCCTGCGGTTCATGCACAGATATCTGCCACTTTCTGCTCCTTTGATCCGAACACGACTTCCGAAGGTGTCCGTCTCCACATAAAGTCTGGCTGTAATGCAGCACAAGTGTTAGCAACCAACAAAATACTGTAGCCTTGAATAGGTTCAACCATTTATCAAAACCATACAATATACGGCATTAATGAAAACATACCCAGTTTAGCTTAATATTATTTAGTACAGTGAAAAAAGTATTTCTTCCTGATCTGACCCTTGAAAAGTCACTTTTGTTTGCATAATCCAATGTAATCAGGCTGATTCTTACACCTGTTACACCAGGTAATTTAGTTGTTGCTACATGAAGCAGATTATTTAATTATTTATTTTTTGCTAATATTTATTATTTAGTTACATGAATATTGCAATATCATGATTTTCAAGATGACTCCACACATTTCTGAAGTCCTGACTAGTCAAATCAGTCTCATTTCCCCTTGCTGTTTGAAGCAAATTAACACATCCTAATCAACACAAAAGGGAAACGATTAGGCAAAGAAACGTCTTTTGAATTATCAGCGAGTCCCTTTTCAGCCAATAAACCAATCAGACGGCGCTATCTGCATCGAAACCTAGGGTGAGTTAATTACTGTAGATGAATGACCGACTCACCGAAAGTGTTCTCGTCCTCGGCGGTGGCGCTCACTCTCTTGCCCTGGATCTGCACGTGTCTGCCGCTGGTTCTGCTGTACAGCTGATAGACGCGAACCTGCCGCCGGCTCAGCTGGTCCGTCAGTGAGCCCTGTTCCCTCACATACTGCTTAAAATTAGGAGAAGGGTGATTCGTCTCCCCCTTTTCGGTGCAAAGGGAAAATAAGATCACATATATTTCTCTCTCTGTTGCTGGAATAGAAAACCTTTTTTCGTTTTGTAAATGCCAGCAAGAGCACTGATCTAGCTCTAGTCTATAACCGAGTCAGCAGACTGCTGAGTGACTAATATGCGACAGAAAATGATTTAGAATTAAATATCTAGAGCAGTGGTTCTCAAATAGGGACCCTGGTCCCACTAGAGGGCCCCTGCAAACTTAAAGGGAGACGTAAAATTATTTTAAAATTATTTTAAATAAGCTATAATCACTCGACAGGTGAACTAATCTCGTATGCCATCAACAAATGTTGTTTTAATGAAGAACATGCAGTTTTTGAAACTTTTATGAATATTAATCGATTTTAAAGCGTTATATATATAACTTACTGTAAAAGTAATAAAGGAAGTATAATGGAGTCAAAAAGGCTGAGAACCACTACAAAATTGACTACATATTGCCAAAGGCAAATGTAGATTTAATAAATAACAAAATAGATTTTAATAAATATTTACCTGTGCTTGACACCACACCACGAAGAAGTGAAAAGAGCTACAAAGTAGAACAAAATTAAGAAAAGTTAGTCAATATGCTAAATATAAAAAATTACATATATACAATATTATGTAAATTAGATCATAGCACATTATGTCACCTTCAGTTCAGCAAAGAATTTATTATCAAAAATGCAAAGAATAGAATTAAACTAAAAAAAAGAAAAGAAAAAAGAAACATTTTCACTATATACAATTCTTAAGTCGGTTGTATGGTTCTTTTAAGATTAAAAACGCTTTTATCAAGTTAAAAAAAAATAATAATAATAATAATAAAAGTATGGAAAATAAAGTAATACGCTTATTGCGGAACCCAAATGTTCTTGTTATAGCATCAGACTTTAACATTTATATCTGCAACCTTAATTTTTAGGATTAAAAACCTATAGGCTATATATAGCTACCATATATACTCACATGTACAAGCAGCGCTGATTTATTCCATACATTGTGGCAACGCAAAGTATAATGTCGTATCCAGGGTTCTCCTGAATGATAATCCAGCTCTGTGATCTCCCGATTAAATGAGCTGAGTCAGATCCATACGCCAGTAAAGAGTGCAGCAGCGCTAGATCTTTAAAAGTCCCTCAGATGCGAGTCTCCGCAAACACACACGCGGATAAATCCGATTAGAAAAAAAACGATCCACATGTAGTGCAGAAGATTATGGAGTTCCATCATATGTGTTTGTACAACGCAGGTCGTTCTCTAAATAATAGTTTTGATGATAATGGTGCGGTGAGTCCTGTGTACTCTTGATGTTGTGTTGGCACTCTCACTTGTGGAGAGGCGCAGCGCGCTCTGCGCGTCTGGATCCCTCACTGCGCTAATGTGATAGACGTCAAGATCCCTCCCATGAGTGTTGCACCTTCTTCCCTCTTCAGAGACTCCAGCACTTAAAAAAAAAAAAAAAAACCTGAGCCATGTTCTGCTAGATGAACATGTGGAGGTGTTTCCAACTTCTACAATATTCAAATGAACTGCATGACCATGTGACTATCCACAACCTGCATATTTCTGGAGTAGGGTGTGAGGCCTTCTAATTTGGTCTCATGTGATGGATGATTAATCTTTCCGAATGAACTCTGATGTCTTCAGATCATCCACCATCTATTTAAAGCTTTGAGGTTCCTTCAGAAAGGTGTGTGCCGCCTGATGTTTGTTAGGGCCCATCTCAGTGTTGGTCTATCCCCATGAAGGGGCCGCGGCTCACACCTTTTGCTAACCTGGCAGCTCTAATGAGAAAACAATGGTGGCTTTTAATCACAGGACTCCAGCAGGCTTTTGTTAGCTCATGCGGAATCAACATCAAGCACTAACGATATAACGTCAACAGGATGCTTGCTTTCCGACACATAGTTAAGTTGCATCGCAGCAATTAGTGCTGTCTTGCAAGTGTGACTATACCAGAGCCGCCACTTGGTCCCTTCAAATAAAAATTCATGTGAACCTTTCCACCCTAGAAGAGTGAAACTCGAGGATTATAAACTGTCAATCAGTGTTTCTTTACTGGTTTTGCTTCAGAACCCTGGTTATCAAGTGGTGACCCAACACAACCAACCCATATATAATGTAGTATAATTTTGTTTATGATTTTTGAGAATCAGGACACGTCTCATAACCTGTCGATGTTGGAATCTAATTTGTCTAGTCAAAAGTGGCAAACTGTAAAAATACAAGTTTGATTGGATGCACCAAAATGTATGTTTGTGGTTAAAATGATGAAATATGTATTTTGTGAGTTTTATTGGATGCACAAGTTGATTAGCCTTATTATTTTGCTATCCTAAATGCAATTAGTTGCATTTTCCCCATCTGCTATCTGCAACCTAATAGATTATGGCATATTTTATGATCATGACCCACCAGATGAGAACCACTGCTGAAAGGTTATTTATTACTTTATTTATAGAACATTATAGATTTGATATACCTCTATTATATCACATCTAGGCCCTTTTTATTCAGTTTATTATTGATCTAATTTGTTGAATGAATTTAAATTCATACAGAATCTTTGGTATCTGTCCGTCTGATGGTCATGATGGTGACAGACGTGACTCTTGATGTTTATTGCTATGTGTTCTCCACCCATCAGTTTGTATTTTGCTAATGATAGACAGATAGTCGGGAGGTGTGAATAGTTATTGGCGATAAAGACGGGTGAGACAGGTGTGTGTTTGATGTGAATGTAACCGGAGGACTGAATAAGTACATTATCATATAAGTTATCTGACAGATTTTAAAAAAAACATTAATAAGTGTTTTTTTATTAAATTAAAATTAATTTGATTGTTTTAGTCAGTTTAAGAAGTTTAGTCAGTTTATTACTCATCTTTTTATTTATTTTTATTTTTTTTCTTGTGATTGTTTCTGTTGCTCGTGGACAAGCCCAGGCGTAATTTTCTTACTGCACTAACTTTGGAAGGAGAAATCTGCTAAATGGATTTTATGATGGCAAAATGTGCTAAACTGAGCTGAGAGTACTGTACTCTCATTGGTAGCAGAATGCATAATCAAATTCAAATCCATAATATTTCATAAACATGCAAGGGGCGGGAAAGCGTTGTAATCTTAATTTTCGACTGTACGAAAAGTAATTTTTTTACTGTGGAGTTGGGTAATCTTCTATAGTGGTAACGGAAAGTACAACAAATGTTATTTTTGCATTCCCAATTGACACAATGGCAAATGAAAAATCCTTGATGGGGTTTCTATGACTTTCCAGATGTTCTGCATTCTGCAGAAAATCTGCTCTCAGTGAAATTCTGTGGACCTGCTTATGGGATATAATATTTAAAGCAATGTCCTGCAAAACATCTCTGCTGCCCTCATAGATTTATTCGAAACGATGTGAATTCCTCGCCTATTAAGAGACAATGTCCAGTGGTGGGAAATCAAAGGAAGACAGATGTTTATTAAACTGTGATCTGACCCTCAGAACTATTTGACATACTGTACATTTAAACAGTCACACCCTGACAGACACATAGAGACAAAGCAGCTTTTGCGAATGCTCGGATTGAAGACCCACAGAGGCTCTATATGTGTGTGTGTGTGTGTGTGTGTGACCGCCAAGCATCAGAGGGCTTAAGCAGTGGATCTTCTCACCAGACCGGAATTCCGTCAGCCCCAGCAGGATGCCAAGGGTGTCGGCCACGTTTTTTTAGGATTGGGCCACTCAGAGCAATAGGGATGTGATGTGTCCTAATGAAACACCATACGTCTAGCACCCCCCCAATTTCCCTCTCCCACTTTTTTTTCTCCCTTGCTACACCCCTTTCAGTTTACGAAAGCGGCGGTGAGATCTGAGGCCCTGAAACCTGATCTTATTTATTCACATCTCGAGCTTTGCTGGTGCTACCTTAGAGATGGAAATAAACCAACACAGAGTCTCGATCAGACGTTAAATAAAGACTGGGAGATGCTGTAAAAAAAAAACACACACAGATGACAAGTGGACATGGGATCTTGTTTGGGTTCAGAGCTTCAATGTCAAAGTGGTGTCATGTGATGACAGCACACAGATATGTTGAGCCATTAATTTCTACCACAGTCATGTCCCGAATGGCCCAGATCCAACATAAGCAGATCTAAAATTAGCTAGTTATAAAACATAACACGTCAATCTATTTATTGAGTGATTGCTAATTGACAATGCATATGTTGTGTGTAAGAGCCACATGTTGTTTGGTCATCCTTGTATTCTTAGAGCATGCAGAGCAGTCACTTCTTTTAGTGTACATGATGATACATCTCAGAATGAAAATTTGGTCATTATTTATTTATATTCATTTCATTCTAAATTCTTTGTTCCATGGAACATGAAATGAGGCTTTCTGAAGATTCTTCACGAATATCTTCTCCATTAAAAAAGAACAATAAAAGACATGAATGACATCAAATGCCATTGGTTCTCACAATGGTGTTTACAAAGAAATTTTTTTTTTAAATAACTTAAAAGCACACGTGCCAAGTACTTAGAAATGTCTTCTTTGTATTCATGAATGAATTCATGTTAGTTTTCAAAAAATGTTATACCACTTTCAAAAAGCGTGATGTTATTTGGTGTAACCGTATTTTGAGACTTTTAATACTTTTGATTGTATACATTTTAATCAATACTTTCCAAATTTTAAAATGTATTTTTCAAGGTAAAAAGTATAGTTTTTAAATGATCATGAATAATTAATTCATAAATATCATTGAGATTTTGGGAGTTACACCACATGACATGAACTAACCTTGCCTTGTCATAAAATGGTCAAATTATCTAATATTTTTCTTATTCATAGATATCTATACATAGATGCCACATTCGACAACTTCAGACATTGTATGACATGTATCTGCCATCTTGGAACCGTCAATGTGTCGTCACTCAGTAAAAATCAATGATTTTTCCAAGATGTCACAACATTGCGCAGCCTCTTGTTGTAAAAACTGCCAAGATTTAAATTCGTGAAGAAATGGAATAACCTGTTACATGTGAGAATGTGTTGGTTTGTGTTTTTATATTTATTAACTCAATATTACAGATTTTTAAACTATGGTAACTATGGTATTATCATATTAGCTAATGCCTTCGTCATCTTGTCTTGTGTTTGTTTAGCAAAATTATCTGCTGACGTCTATTGCAGATATAGACATTCATGCATGCGTATATCTACGGTTGCAGATGCTCAGTCCACTTGCTCTCAAGTGTTCACGGACCGGCTTTGACCATTCAATATGGCTGACAGCTTATGTATAGAAACAGCTGCTAATGAGGCATCTGTGTATACATATCTATGGACTTATTGACCTTGACACAGTCATGAGGGTCTGCAGAGTCTCTATGATATAATTTCCTGCTTTTTTCTGCATGTCGGTTGCACCATATGACTTTCTTGGTTGCACCACATGACTTTGATTTGGCCTTTTATTATTATTATTATTATTATTATTTTAATATGAATAAGCAGTAAAGGAGTTTTGTTAATTTTTTTCTACCTGGGAGACTCTTTATGTCACTTGCACTCAGTTTTGTTTTTCATCAACATTAGCCTTTAGCTGTGTGTTAGTGTACTGCAAGCTGCAAGTGAAAGGTCGATTGGTGGTCTCCCTAACAGCTTAAACCACATTGTAAAAAAAACTGGACCATAAAGAACAACTGGCTACTCATTTCTGACCCCACAAAAATAGAGACAAAGCTTCAAAAAAGTGGGTGGTCTCTCTATGAAAAAAAAAATGCTGTTGTGTGAGGGTGAGGTAGAGTTCTTGTCTCTGTAACAACTCTAATGTGATTTGATTAGAACATTAGCATGGGATCAGAAAACTCCTCAACTGAGATGTCTGAGACACACAACCATGAAACCAAACAAGAAGAATCTATAACACACGGCTGAACAAATACCTTAGACAAGCCAAAAACCTATATTTCCCTCCTAATTAAGTGTTTAGGGTGGATTAATGGCTAATTATTACACTGTCTGCTGACCCTTCGT